TGACTGTAATAGAAAGTTTGAGTTTATTATAAATAAAGGTAAGGTCCTTTGCTTTAGCATGTACGCATCTCAGCGTTAGACATCTGCTTACCCGGCTTCAGATAGCTAGTTCGCAGATCCGGATCGGAAAGCCAGGTCTTCATCTGTCTGGTGCCGTCTGCTGTCTGCCACACTACACTGCTGTTCACTCTTCTCTGCCGTGGAGATCTTTGTGAAAATAAGTGTGCGGATAGAACATGGAATCAAAGTTTGCTTGAATTTTAACATGTGCGTTGAGATATTACAGAACCCAACTTTACATTAGCCTTTAAAAATTTATTTAAAACCACTTTGCCTTCAATTGTTTAGTACAAGAAAAACTCCTTTTAGGTTGTAGCATGACATAGTTAGTGCCCACGGTTTCTGGAATTTAAACATCTGATGTGGCTTTGGATCTAAATAAGCCCTGGACATACATCTGTAAGGGCCTGAGCATTCCTTTTCCATGGTCTCTATTTCACAGTTCTTGCGTCTCACGATAAGAACCCTCTATTGCTTTGAGACATATATGTGGTCTCCATAGATTTGTCACTCCACTGAGAATCTGAACATTGACCACGTGAGAATTTTAGAACAATCATATGGAAGCAGAAATGATCTGGATTACAGCGTGTAGGCACGACATTGGAGATGAGCTGCACTGGAGTTGTCAGAGGACCCCCCCACACCCCGTCCATACATGCACACACACATGCACACGCACATTAGTTTTTCAGAGCACCCAAGTAGTACATTTTAGAGGATTCAAGATGCTTTCTTCTGGGTTTAGACTATCTCTGAGAAACTGAAGTTCAAAAAGGTAACTTTTCTAAAAAGTAACTGAGAACTTAAAATACCCGTTTGGAATGAGAGAGTTGCTGAGCCCTAATTACAGCGTGGCTCTGGCAGTGTAGCCCAGCGGCCTTGTGGACTGGCCCCTCCAAACTCCAGGCTGCAGCCAGGGTCTCACAGTGACCTTGAGAGAGGCTTTTTCTTTCTCTGCAGGATTTTTTTCCTGCTCTGCCTAAAAATTACTGTCGTTTAATATGAACTGTGTTTTTGGTAAATGGGGTGTTAATTGCTGTCTCTGGTGATATTGATTATCATTACTGATGTTTGATTTCTTAATTTTTCTGGTTCTTATTTGTGGAAAGCATATTGTGAGAGCGTGGGAATGCAGTTCCTGACAATAGCACTTTAAGCTGATTCATGAGCTTGGAAGTGTCTTAGCTGATTATGTAAAAAGGGACCACAGGGGGTCTGGAGTATATTCCAAAATTCCAGCCTCTTCTCAGTTAATGACTGGTAACTAGGTCTCAGTCTCGATTTGAGATGAATGCATTCCTTTATAAACTCTTCCCAGCTACCATTTCAACAGTGGGACTGCTACTCCATCTGTGAAACATACACAAAAGGGTAAAACCTAAGCCACTGTTTGTTTTGAGTTTCCTGGTGTTCAAATCTGAGTAGCATTTGGACTCTCAAGCTTTAAAACTGTTTTGTTTCTTCCTCTCCGTTTTGAACAGATGATTTTCCTAAACCCCAGATCACGGTTCAGCCAGAAACGCAGTCGGCAATAAAAGGTTCCAATCTGAGTTTTATCTGCTCGGCTGCCAGCAGCAGTGATTCCCCAATGACTTTTGCTTGGAAAAAAGACAATGAGCTACTGCATGATGCGGAAATGGAAAATTACGCACACCTGCGGGCCCAGGGCGGTGAGGTGATGGAGTACACCACCATCCTGCGGCTCCGCAACGTGGAGTTTACCAGTGAGGGGAGGTACCAGTGCGTCATCTCCAACCACTTCGGTTCATCCTACTCTGTGAAAGCCAAGCTCACAGTAAACAGTATGTGGTCTGACTTTTCCTTTTGCGTTAAAAGACACCGTTGAGAAGCAGAAAAAGTGCCTGCTTTCCTCTCTTTCTCTCATTCCTACCCTGGTCCCCTGCTCTCCTGGCTCCCACACAACCCTTCCTCTCCCTGCTTCTCACTCCATAGCATGAAGTTTGCGGGTTGTTTGTATGTAAGCAAGCGGTCATTGTGTTGAGGGCCCGTGCTTGGCGGGGCGGGGAGCCCAGGTGAGCCAGACGCTTTCTTGCTCTTCGGGAGTTCACAGTGTCCCAGTCTCATGTGAGAGGCTTTGAAGCATAGTGTTAAAGCACACGCTCCTATTTTTTTAAATTGAAGTGTAGTTGATTTACAATATTGTGTTAGTTTCTTTTCAGGTGTACAGCAAAGTGATTCTGTTTTTCTACATTTTTTTATATTATTTTCCATTACAGGTTATTGTAAGGTACTGAATGTCATTCCCTCTGTTACACAGTAAATCTCTGTTACTTGTCTATGTTACGTATAGCAGTCTGTATCTGTTCATCTCAGACTCCTAATTTATCCCTCCCCCTTCACTCTCCCCTTTGGTAGCTGTATGTTTATTTTCTGTCTGTGAGTCTGTTTCTGTTTTGTATGTAGATTCATTTGTGTTATTTTTTAGATTCCACATGTAAGTGATGCCGTATGATACTTGTCTCTCTGACTTCCTTCACTTAGTACAATATTCTCTAGGCCACCCATGTTGCTGCAAATGGCAGCATTTCACTCCTTTTTATGGCTGAGTAGTATTCTAGTCTACGTGTGTGTGAATGTTTGTTTTTCTTAAACCAGCCATCTGTTGGTGGGCACTTGGGCTGCTCCCGTGTCTTGGCTATTGTAAATAGTGTTGCTGTGAACACTGGGGTGCAACTCTTTTTGAAACAGAGTTTTTTGTCTTTTCTGGATTTATGCCCAGGAGTAGAATTGCTGGGTCTTATGATAGCTCTATTTTTCAGTCTTTTAAAGCACCTCCATACTGTTTTCCATGGTGGCTGCACCAGTTTACATTCGTGCCAACAGAAAGCATGCCACCCTTAACTCAGACATCTGGTTTTGCATCCTTCTACTCCTGCCTGCGGCTGAGGGGTGCTCGTCGAGTTCCTTGACCTCTCTTGCCTCCTTTCCACATCTTTCATTTAGGAATAACAGTGCCTACCTTACAGAGGTATGATCATTGTTAAATAAAATAATTGTGTAAAGAACTTAGCAGAACGCACGGAATACAGTAAGTGCTCAGTAAATGCAGTGTTAGCTGCTGTTCTTTATAAAAGCCTCTCATCGTGCACTTTGTGTGGCAGGTAGACAGGTTTACAGTGTATCAATTGTTCGTGTCTTCCGTGGTAGAAGATGCAGTTCATTAATGTGTTTATTCAGCAGATGACTGCTGAGGCCTGACGCGTAGAACAATAAAATTAGAGGACAGAATACATATCCAAAGTCACAGCCTGTTAGAGCCAAAGGGGAACTTCAAAAAGGAAGGTGGAGAGGTCAGGGTACAAAGAGATTAATTGATCTGTCCAAGGTCTCACACATAATTATTGAGGAAACTAAAAAGTGACTGAAAACTAGCAGAAAGACCATCAGTCTGAAGATCAGATAACCTGTTCCATCTTTACTCATCACTTCTGTACCGGTGTAGCCTTGAGGGAGTCAGTCACTCCGTCTCAACTTGCAAATGGAAATACCCCCTGCCTTACCTGTGTTAGGGACGTGTGTAAGTCCCCCTCCAGAAAAAGGAATAGAAATGGACCAGTGAATCTCTCAAACCCCAGCACACTAGTGCCTGCGTTGTGTTTCTGGTTTCAGTGCTTCCTTCATTCACCAAGATGCCCATGGACCTGACCATCCGCGCCGGGGCCATGGCGCGCTTGGAGTGCGCCGCCCTGGGGCACCCAGCCCCACAGATCGCCTGGCAGAAGGACGGGGGCACAGACTTCCCGGCCGCGAGGGAGAGACGCATGCACGTCATGCCTGAGGACGACGTGTTCTTCATCGTGGACGTGAAGACAGAGGACGTCGGGGTGTACAGCTGCACAGCTCAGAACAGTGCGGGTAGCATTTCTGCAAACGCCACTCTGACTGTCCTCGGTGAGTGGGCGTTTTCAGCTTCTGTGATGCGCGTCAGTCTGAAAGATGCCCGCTCACCCGAAGGCCCTAAGAAGTGTCACAAGTTTTGGGGGTGAGAGATGGTCTGTAGGACCCTGCCCTTTCCTGAGGGGGACCGTGGCTTCTCAGAAGCTTTGAAGTTGCTTCTTCAGGCCTGTGGCCAGTGCGATCAGTCTGCTCCCTCCCTCCCAAGGCGGGGAGGAAGTGCATGCTTTGATGCTCCCCCTTTTTGCAGGAATCACCTTCCCTTACTCTTCCTGTTGTGCAGTCTCCCCTAAGGGTCTTAACAATGTAAAGAATGTAAGAAAGCAAATCCATGAACAAATTGAGAGGGACCTACTTTTTCCTTGGCCCCCATACAACTCTGGAAATCAGAGTTCATCTTTTATCATTTACCTAAACATTTGCTTTAAAAAAAGTATATGAGCATGTGAATCATATGTGTATCTTTAAAAGAGTAAATCAGAGTAACCTACCAACAACACACAGTAACAGTAAATTATTTTCAGAATTTTGATACAGATCAGGACATCTGGCACTAGAAAGTTTCCCTTTAAAAATTTAAACATCCTGATTTTATTTTATCCAACAACGCGCCCTTGTGCTTGAAGTACTTGTAATACATTCTATATTTCTAAAAAACACCTGAAGTGCTTTGCTTCGCCTCACTCCCAGCATTCCCTGACCTTGCCGAGAGTGAGGGGGACGGAGCGGAAGAAACAGTAACTATTACCCTTAACTGGTATTGTAAGTAAACGACAGCCAAATGATGACTTGAAATCCCAGATTCTGTGTAGATGTTTAGGCTCTTAAAAAGCTGACATTAAAATTCTGAAAATAATTTACTTTTGTTATTTGTTGTTCATAAGTTGTGAGAGAAGACAGTTTTTAGCTCCAGTTTGAATACATTCACGGGCGA